CTGCTAATGCGCGACGGCCGATCCTGCGTCCGGGGCAGCCCCTGGCGCCCCAGCCGCTCCTGCCGCCGGGGCAGCCCGGGCAGCCCCTGCCGCCGGGGCCAGACGCAAGCTCCATCTCCTTAGACCCCCCAGCCCCGAGATCCAGGCTGCCGACCCGCCTACTCCGCGGCCTACGCGCGCGGCTGCCTGGCGGGGCAGGTCTGAACGCAGCCGCGGCCACCACGGGTACGAAGAGGAAGGGGCCAGCTACGAAGACTCCAGCGGAGACGAGTCCGACGATGGGGCCACCGGATGCTTTCACTGGTTTCTGCACCGGCGAAATCGCCGCCGCCAAAAGCCCCGGCGCAACTTACTCCGCAACTTCCTCATGCAAGCCTTCGGGGGCTGCTTCGGTCGGTCTGAGAGTCCCGAGCCCCAAGCCCCGTGCCCCGCCAAGGTCAAGAAGGCTTCTGTGGAGGAAAAGCGCAGACAGATGCGCAAAGAAGCCATGGAGATGCGTGCCCAGAAGCGCGCAGAGAAGAAACGCAGCAAGCTCATCGACAAGCAACTCCAGGATGAGAAGATGGGCTACATGTGTACGCACCGCCTGCTGCTTCTAGGTAATGCGGCGGACTCTGCCCGCGGGCAGCAGGGCCGCCGGGGGACCCGGGTAGAGGGTGGCAGGGCTGCCGGGTGGGGTTCGGGGCTCGGCAGTGGGAGGAAGGGGTCCAGTTAATGGTGGAAAGAGCCTGCTAGAAAGTTCCAGGGAGGGACCCTAACTAACTTTGCCCTGGGAGCGGGAGGGGAACTCGGGCGGGTTCGGGTGGCCGAGGTATGTGCCCTCCAGGGAGAAAAGTGATGCCGAGCGACACTGAGGGTCGTTTCCGGCTGGACAGGCCAGCGCCAGCGACCGTAAGCTGGACAGGCAGGGGCTTCAGGTGAGCCAGGAACTGCCAAGGAGGGCCCCGGGGCTCCCCTGGCTGGGCCCGTGGTGGGCTGGGGTCATTGGGGAATGTGCGCCCCCGCCTCGCCTGGCACGGCTGCTTGGACTCAGACAGCTTGTCGTTGGTGTGTGTTGGTGTCCATATTCTGTGTCCGCCTGTGCATGATATGCTCAAGTGTCCCCCAGTTCCCATCCCTGGCACCCCTAAATTACCCGCCGACTGTGTATTTGTACTTGGAAACGGGCTGTCTTGTGATTTGCGCCTTGGCGCGGGCAAAAACTTTCCGTGTTCGCACACTCTGGTGGCACCTGTGCGCGGGTGCTCTGCAGCGAGCGGAGCAAAAAGCGCGCAGGGAAAGGTGGCGGGCACCCTGGGTGATGCGAGGGGCCTCTGGCCTGGGGAGGAGGGGGCCGCTTCCCGACGGCCTCCATAACCTTTTTCCTGTATGTCTTTCTCTCTTTTTCCCTTGGCGCTAAGCGTTTCCTCACTTCTCATTCGTTCGCCAAACCCTCTCGCCTTTACGGCTGAAAAACCAGACACACAGGTATCTGGGGCGTCCGGGGCTGCACACACAAGTTCGGTATTCTGCACACACTCAGCTTACCTGGTGGGGGGATGGAGGGTGGAGGGGGGTAAAGCCACTTAACCTGCTGTAGGCGAGTCTGGATTCAAAACCACATGGGGATGGTTCCAATGGGGTGGGCGTGGCTGTGTTAAAAAAATATGAAATAATTTTTTTCCTAGCGAAGAGCCCGAGGTAAGCCAATCATTAACAGTTTTACAGAGTACAGTAGGAGGGGCTTGGTTTAAAAAGATGGGGGTTATGTGATGGGAGTGGAATGTCATCTTTGTGTTTGAAATGCAATTAAAATAAAAGATTTCAAAAAATGCTTTGAGTGTATTTTAAGTGTGTGGACAAAGTATGGTAAAACCGTTAATATGATTTGCAAGGCATGTAAATGTTTGCGTGTGAATTTTTTCAAGCAGCTTTAGCTGGGGGCAAAGAGGCTTAAAGGTAAGGTCTGCTGCAAATCTGCTTTGGACACACACACAAAAAAATTAAAACTGTCTTGTGATGAAAGTTAAAATAATGATATTATCACCAGAAGGTTGCCTTTGGTGCCCTCTGCCTTGCCCCTTCTTTCTCCATGTTTTCCCATCTCTCAGTGTCCCCCTCCCCTCTCCAGGACCCCTTGTCTCACCCTCAGCAAGACCCTCTCCCCTATCTTCAAGTCCTTCCTTGCCCTTTCCAGTTTCCCCCTCCTCCCAACACCCCCTTGCCCCACGAGACACCTTATCTCAAGTCTGGGGCATTAACTCTTCTTGCCACACTTAATCAAAGCAGCAATTAGCAGTGGTCTGAATCTGTGGCTTAAATGAAAATTTCAAAAGTGAAGCTCCACTATTTTATTTTACTCTCTAAGACCTTTCAAGGGATTTTAAGATCACAATTTCTAAGGCTGTGCTACTTTTGTTAAATATTTTATCATGAGTGATGGTTTTTATTAATGACATTATTGACATGACTGTGCTATTGTGATGTGACTCACATGAATCACAGTTTTAAATGTGATGGTCATTTTATGTATGCCTACTGGGGGAAATAATAGCACGATCATTTACCCAAAAACATACAAAAGGGAGGTAGTTTTAAATTTCAAATGTCCCAACTACAGTAAAACCACAGAGCCTTAAAAAACAATGTGCTGGTTTCTCTGTACACACCTGATTTCCCCACAACTGACATATTTTAATATCCCAAGCATAGCTCTGGGAAGCAAACCTGTGAATTGGGGGTGGGGGTGGGGGTGGGGGAGGGGAACATAACTGGGTGCAGACAGGAGACCCAAGAGACAGTACACACTTGACTCCTAATTGGCAAATTGGCAATGTCCATAGCATTCTGGGACCTCAGTTGCCCTCATTTGTGAAAAGCAGCTTTCTTAACAGATCTCCACTAAGGTATCCTTTAGCTCCATGACTTGGGTCTTCTCTTCTTCTCCAGGGGTGGGTGGAGGCTTATACCATAGATTATGTATGCAGCCATCAATCCTGCAGCAAACTGTCCATGTCGAGAGCCAGGTTTTAAGAATATTAAAAGTTGCCCTGGCCTCCCTTTGTTTTGTCTCCAGGCAGGAAAATTAACTCTTTAACAAAAGGAAATTTGCTGGGGTCACCTTGCCATTGTCCTGGCTTTGCTCCCTGGGTGTTGGTAGTCAAATAGTCAAACACAGTTGGATGCAGCATAGTCCAGAAAATGGGCTGGTAGACCTTGGGCATGTCTGGCAAAAGCCTGATTTAAAATAACCAGTATTACCTGCTACCTGAAACTGTAGCGGCGCAGTTTGTCAAACCAGGCTGCAGTTTTTGACCAGACTTCATTTTGCTAAAATGACAACAGAGCAACCCCAAATGTGTCTGAATTATTGATTGGGGAGGGGGTGAGGAGGAAGGATGAGGACTTACCTATGTTAAGGACAAGGCATTTTACTAACTTTTTGGTCCCTACATATAAAATAAGACATCCATACATTCCAACCACTGAACATACAGATCTTTTGATATGGTTTCTAATTTGTGACATGCGGATTAATCTGTTGCTTTAAATATGTGTGTTTATGTGTGTATCCTCTCTGTTTTTATTGCCCAAACAGCTTAACCACATTGCAGGGGATCTTAAAAAGAAAAATTGGTAATAATATAAAAATTCTAGAATATCTAAAATTAAGGCCTTTTTCTTACTCAACATTATCCAATAGTAGACTATTCCCAAATTTCTGTTGCCCTTTTAAATAATTTTGGTGGCTTAAACATTTTTTTGTAAGCCTCATTTAGGTGTGATTGCCTCGTTGCTTGAGCATTGAAGAGGGCTACTAGATCAGAATGTCTTAGTATCTGCTGCATTTATTAAAATTGTGCAGGCAAGTGCTGTATATAATAATGGCTATCCTGCTATGACATTTTATTTATACAGTGAATCACATTTAATTATATGATAATTTTTTATGCCACCAAATGCAACAGGAATGCATTTCTCCTTGTCTTGCAGAAGTGCTTTTTTTTTTTCTTTTTCTTTTTTAATACAGCCATTTTTCCGTATTCAGGATGCCTCACTGAGCTGTTTGGTGCAGTGGGGAGGGCATGACTTATGAGTCCACGAAATCTTGGAGTTAAGAGAGAGTTTTAATATTTTTCTTTTTCTGTCTCCCAATAGTATTCATGCTTCTCAAAGGCCAAAGTTCTGCCCTGCTTTTTAAAATGCAATCTCTCATTGATTTTTCTAAAAAACAATAAAAATTTCCATATGGGTAGGTTAATTTTTTTTAAACGTTCCCACATTAACTACCATGGAAAACTGGTATTTAGTGAAGAGAAATGGGCTTCACCTTTCTATATATCTCCTCCCGACTGGAAAAGGAAAATCTCACTGCTCTCAGTATTATTAGTAACCAGTAACAATAATAACACATTCTGATTGTATTTTACATTTTTAAAAGCCTTTCATCTAGTTACATTTGTCCATTGAAACAGCCCTGGGCAATAAAAACAGGGTAGGACCCCATTCGGTAGGCAGATAAAGCAAAAGCTCAGAGATTAACTGTCAGGGACTTTTGCTCAAAGACTGCAAGGTAAGAGAAGAATCTGAAGTTCCTAATTTAGATAAGATAATGCTTACCAAAATGTGGTAATAAGCTATAAAGCACTGTTAAATGTATAAAGCATGATTATTGTAAGCGTACTATGTGCTCTTAAAATCCCTTGTCAAATGACAGGTGTCTAGCAGTCTGCTGCTTTTTGAATTAGATCCCAACCCTGACAGATTCCGGGTTATAAATGTCCATTGAGTGTACATGAAACGTGAGCTCCTCCATTTCTGGGATACCTGTCATTGCGATGGCGATATTTAGTTTCCACATTTGCTTTAACTGATGTGCCAGCACTGCAGTACTGCAGTCTCTTGGTTTGTTTGTCGGGCTTTTTTTAAATGCAGATTTTCTTTTAAGTCTTTTTATCATGATTATTTTTTAAAACCCTCTAGTAGTTTTCTTTAGCAAGGTCTAAAGCTTTTGTCCTTACTCAGGTTTTCACTAAAAAACAATAATAATTATAAAATGCAGTTGCTGTGATGCATAGCTCTCCTAAATTTATAGTGTTAGAGTGCTTAGAATCCTGGGCTAGATCTAATGAGCCTACTAAAATAACTCTGCTTAGTGATCTTTATAGTGATTTTTTAAAAAGCTATTCCTTACTTTTAGTCCAGGGCTAATTCCCATTTAGCAAGAATCAGTGCATGATCTTAGAAATCACCTTTGACTTTTATGTAGGAAAAAAATTAATTTATTTTTAGAGAAAGTAAGCTAAGTGAGTAGATTTGAAATTCCCAATGCCAACCACGCCCCTTCTTCATTTTAGAGTCAATTTTCCCTTCAAGTAAAACTTACCCCCACCCCCAGCAAAACTGTGGCTCTTCAAATGCCTCTAGATAAAGTAACTTTAGGGAGACACATAAATAGTGAATGAAAATTGGTTTCTATACTTCTTGGTTTCTTTCAGCTGTGGCAAATGTAGGGCGCTTCCCAAACCCACCTTGACCCCCAGGGTGCCTAATGAAATTCAAAATTAACATGCCATTCGCCCATTTTGAAATCAAACTTCTCAGGAAGAATAGAAATTTC